AGAGCATTGAATTTTCTTATCTCATATTATTTGTTTTTGTGTTTTGTAGGTGTACAGGGGGATTCTCTCAAGTGGACAAATAATTGCAATCAAAAGATCTCAACAAGGTTCCATGCAAGGTGGACTCGAGTTTAAGACTGAAATCGAGTTGCTTTCACGAGTTCATCACAAAAACCTTGTTGGCCTTGTGGGATTTTGTTTTGACCAAGGAGAACAGATGCTGGTATATGAGTTCATGCCTAATGGATCACTAAGGGAGAGTTTAACCGGTAAGTTCGATTCCACATTATATACCGGGCAACATTGGCTGCATTATTTATTCTGAATTCTGAGAATGAAAAAATAGTAGAACAACCTAGAGGGTCAAAGAGGCTTATACCTGTGAAACAACAGCGGCAAGACGACATTAGAGCAAGCATTATAAACAACTTAGATCTAATGAAAAGTTTCTCATTGGAAATTGCTATTGAAAATAATCTTATAGACTATATTCAGTACATATGCTGCAAAATTTACCATTCCCCTCGCTTCACCACCATGGGACAGCAAATGGTAATGGTTAGAAGATATTGTTCCCGAGATTAAGTCTTCAATCTGAATCATTTGTCCCAACATCAACTAACACACACACAATGCAATTGAGAAGTTCAATATCACTTCATTTACAAGAGTGAGGGCACAGTAAAATATTTCACCCCGCTTTTATGCACTCTAAATTAAGACGTTTTATCAGTTGTGCAATAAATATACATGCTAGGGAGTAGGGATTATAAGATTTGGTGCTAGATAACTATACTTCTGAGAAAAGCTCCACAATTATTCCATACAATGTAAATGCACCAGTTCACGAACACCTCTGCCATGCGAATACATCAATCTTATCTCAAATGTTTCAGATAATGTTTTTGGATATTTTAAGAAAATTCGAAAACGTGCTTATGTGAAGTCTGATTAACTGATGAAGTAATCCTATTGTTTCTTATGAACTTGCTGTACACTGTAGAACCTTCATAAGGCGCAGAGTTCTTTTTTTTTTTTTTTAATGTCTGAGAAAATAATCTGCCAGCTGAGTTCAAAATATACGTCATTACATAAATATCATTCATGATGCATTCATGTTATTGAAGCCATAGATGGAAGGAGCCTGTTAAATTCTAATAATCACATTATGTTATTGAAGCCATAGATGGAAGGATCCTGTTAAATTCTAATAATCACATGGAATTTATTTTTATGTCATGGACAGGAAAAAGTGGAATTCATCTAGGTTGGGAGAGGAGGATACGTACAGCACTTGGTGCAGCTAGAGGACTATCTTATCTACATGACCTTGCTAATCCTCCAATAATTCATCGGGATGTCAAGTCTACCAATATTCTGTTGGATGAAAATCTAACGGCGAAGGTTGCGGATTTTGGCTTGTCTAAGCCAATGTCTGATGCTGCCAAAGGGCACGTCTCCACTCAAGTTAAAGGCACGTTGGTGAGTAATACAGCTCCTAAATTATAGGAGAATGTTCATATGATGACTAGAAGGATCCGTTTCCCTTGAAGTTGCAAATCAATCGGAATGTGTTGAACCACCCATCTTAAAGTTTAGCTGTTACAGGGAGACAATTTATTTATTTAAATGTAATCCTCAACATGCTCCTCACGTGCATGCCGTGTTTTATTTTTATCAACGGCACGATACATGCACAACTTTTTATAAATGGGTGACAACGAAACTTGAAATTAGGACCTAAATCTCTTTTGAATCCAAGTAGAACTATCTCATATAGAAGTTTAAACCATTTGAGAGGGGACGGTTTATTTATATAAATTTAATCTGCAATGACACGTTCTTCTGCTTTTATATTAACATCTTTTTTCCCATTAAATTGTCAACCTTTTAAATAATTGGGGTTTTGGCCTTAACATTGTCGATAAATCACAACTTTTTGAATAACTTCATATTCTAATGCATTTTTTTTTTTTATTTTTTATATTTTTTTTTTATATTTTTTTTTTTTTTTTTTTTTTTTTTTTTTTTTAATGTCTGAGAAAATAATCTGCCAGCTGAGTTCAAAATATACGTCATTACATAAACATCATTCATGATGCATTCATGTTATTGAAGCCATAGATAGAAGAGCCTGTTAAATTCTAATAATCACATCATGTTATTGAAGCCATAGATGGAAGGAGCCTGTTAAATTCTAATAATCACATGGAATTTATTTTTATGTCACGGACAGGAAAAAGTGGAATTCATCTAGGTTGGGAGAGGAGGATACGTACAGCACTTGGTGCAGCTAGAGGACTATCTTATCTACACGACCTTGCTAATCCTCCAATAATTCATCGGGATGTCAAGTCTACTAATATTCTGTTGGATGAAAATCTAACGGCGAAGGTTGCGGATTTTGGCTTGTCTAAGCCAATGTCTGATGCTTCCAAAGGGCACGTCTCCACTCAAGTTAAAGGCACGTTGGTGAGTAATACAGCTCCTAAATTATAGGAGAATGTTCATACGATGACTACAAGGATTCCTTTCCCTTGAAGTTGCAAATCAATTGGAAAGTGTTGAACCACCTCATCTTAAAATTTGAGCTGTTTCGGGGAGACAATTTATTTATTTAAATGTAATCCTCAACATGCTCCTCACGTGCAGGCCGTGTTTTATTTTTATCAACGGCACGATACATGCACAACTTTTTATAAATGGGTGACAACGAAACTTGAAATTAGGACCTATATCTCTTTTGAATCCACGTAGAACTATCTCATATAAAAGTTTAAACCGTTTGAGAGGGGACGGTTTATTTATATAAATTTAATTTTCAATGACACATTCTTCTGCTTTTATATTAACATCTTTTTTCCCATTAAATTGTCAACCTTTTAAATAATTGGGGTTTTGGCCTTAACATTGTCGATAAATCACAACTTTTTGAATAACTTCATATTCTAATGCTTGTGCTTGTTCGCAGGGTTATCTAGATCCGGAATACTACATGACACAACAATTAACTGAGAAAAGTGATGTCTATAGTTTCGGTGTGGTGATGCTTGAACTGATAACTGCAAAGCAGCCCATTGAGAAGGGAAAATACATTGTACGTGAAGTAAGAGTAGCAATGAGCAAGAATGATGAGGTGCACTGTGGATTAAAAGAAATGATGGATCCGGCCATTGGAAACACTCCACATCTTATAGGATTCCCGAGGTTTCTTGAATTGGCAATGCAATGTGTTGAAGAACTAGCCTCTGACCGTCCAACAATGAGCGAAGTGGTGAAGTCCCTCGAAACAATTTTACTAAACGATGGCCTAAACACAAACTCAACATCTGCATCCTCATCTGCCACGGACTTTGGATCTGCAAAAGGCCCCCTCAGACATCCTTACAATGATCCTTTACCTAGAAAGGATGCCAATGAGAGTGATGCCTTCAAGTACAGCGGGGGATACTCACTCCCACCAAAAGTTGAACCTAAATAGCGGTACTACTACATGGCTTTTCAATCTTAAATAAATTTAGTTACATATGCAAATAGATTTACAAAGTTTTCTTTTGTGCTAATATTTGTGAGAGAACTGTTTCATAACTTGTGGATTGGATATTTATTTTTACCTGTTGGACATTTTTACATCACTGTATGACCACTCAACAAATCACTCTCAAATATTTTCAAAATTACTACTCTTCTATCTAGTAGACATTTCTTACCACCCTCCAAGAAAAAAAAAAAAAAAAATTCTCGAACTGTTTGATGTAATAGAGTCAAAATTATGCGTCTGCGTTTCTGCAAATATGTGTTGAAGATGAATGTAAATGTTCAAATTGTGAGTTGGAATGGATTTTGTGGTTAAATGTAGACGACGTTGGAAATTGGTGAAAAGTCATCTGGGATTTAATTACTTGGAGGTGATACATTCCCAAATTTAAACCTCTCAGAGAATGCTTTTGCAGAGCATACAATAGAGCAATTTTTGAGAGATGGAAGGCGTCTTTTTTCCCTTTTATTGGACGACCATAAAAGTTTTTGTCGAAAATTGTAATCCTCGATTAACGGAATAACAATGTCGTTCTTTCTTTAACAAGATATCGTGATAGCATTTATTATTCATGTTGACTACAATACACGTAACAGTTGTGTAGCTTAGATTGTTTGAACCTTGAAGAACATGCATCAAAATCCAGTGCAGCTTCAACTCATTTGAGAGCAAAGAAAAAGTTTCAGTTTTCCTCTAGTCATTCATCATGTGCCATCAGTGGCCTCTAGAACTTGGATTTGGTCGAAATTAGGCGTTCCTTTCTTTATTTCCTATATATATATAGAAAAAAAAAACTGAACAGTTGACTCATACTCGACCATTACTTTTTGTGGAAACATATCAAATCACACAATTATTTCGAAATTACCGAGTTTCAATTTTGAATTTAAGCAAGTCATTCAACTTCACTTGATCACAATAAGGCCAATTAATTTCGAATTTCTTTTAAGCAACTTACTCTATCAATTGTCACTTCATCATTACTGTTTGGCAAGGTGAAGGATTATTTATTTAAAACAAAACACATATGAAATATTGCCCCAAGCAAAATAAAGAGGTAACCAATTAATCCAATATACAAACTCCGAATTAAACAAGCTTACGATGGTGAATCGTGAGCCACTCTATTCCCTTCATGGGGAATAAAGTAACAAGTACCATAGGTAACTTCCTTCGTAAGGTGGTGTATTCGAATAGAGTGACTTGATTGAAAAAAATAAATAAAAAAATTGTGCGTATAATTTTGTACTTAAAAATTGAAAATGAGTCGACCCCCATAATTTTTTAAACTTGTCTCTATAAAAAAACAATTGCTAAAAAAAAAAAATGTTTAGGAAGAAGGGGTAAAATTACAGTAATGAAAGTACCAGAATTTATAAGCTTTGGAAATAATTTAATCTGAATTACGATACAAATTACTGGATCACCAAGACTTCAATTTTAGTTACAACAATCACATCTTTCACAAGAATTGACAGTCAGAAATCCTCCCTTCAACCTTTTAATCATAACTAAAGTTAGATTTAGCCCAGCTTATGAACTATCGAATTATTCTAAATAAATTATAAGTTGATTCCAATGTAGCGAATTGCCAATAAGTGACGCTCCAACTAACAAAATATGCAAGAATCATGCTATATGGACATAATTTTTCTTCTTTTATGTGAACTTCAAATTTACCATTCAGACTTCGTATGTACATACAGTTCCTTGTAAAGACAAGTAATTATCACTTTCTTCGTGGTGAGTGGCTTGCAAAATATGTAACCATAACCTTCTAAATAAACCAAAATTTTCACATATGATAATTGATAATACATTATTCTTTACCTGCTTCAGCATCTTCTGTACGATTGGCTAATTTGATAATATCTTCCACGCGAATTTTCCCTTCTGTTGCACCAAATAAAAAAGGGTACTGTAAAAAATAGATGCTTGCATCACGAGTTTGATATAGATTACTTCTATTCACAGTTTCTGATACTATTCCTAGTACAAGCTAGAAACTATATTACATTTTTCAGTAAGATTTCAGAAGAAGGCCTTCTTCATTACATTATATAGATGCGGTTTTCAAAAACTTAACTATTCAATGTGTAATATCTCAGATGGCCTTAAGACAGCACAATTAGGTAGTCTATATACGGCAAGATATAAATGAGATTGCAATCTTTTAGCTTCATTTTTGAAATGATGCTAACGTATAAGTGAATGATAATATCGGGATGAAAATGCAGGAGTACCTATCTCTACCTAGTTTGAACATTTTATTGTGTTACTGTTTATTTTGCCTACCAAATAAATTGGCATGTTAGCTCAAGTTCAAAACATAAATTCATGAAGCAAAACATCCCAAGAACAGAATGAGAAAGTGAAGCGTTGAGAACTACCTCTATCCTTGGAAAGATTGCTGATGAGTTCTTGCATACCCTCCTTGTCCAAGGTATCCTTCAAGTACATAGCAGCAGATGCTACCTCCTCGGGAGTCACTTTGCCATCATAATCCCTGCCGTTAGATTTCTAATAAATTATCTTCAGGATTTTATTAGAGTGTAAACATTATGAATTGCTAGATAAAAGAAATGCAAAGACAAGAACATGATAAGCCCCCCCATCCGGTTCACATATTCTAGAAGGCCCAAGAAGGAGGGTGTTAACAGATGGAGTGGAAACATTAGGAATTAGTTAGGAATAACGGGTTATAAATAAAGGTAGTAAGGGAGGGAAAGTCAGGCAATATTTGAGAGAGTGATTGAGTGGTTTTTGTTATTGTTTACAGCCTCCTATTGGCTTTGTTATCTCATTTCTGTAATTCTCTTATGATTCAATCAAAGATCTATTATCAATTCTCAGTTTGAGTACTATCAAATTGGTATCAGAGCCGTAGAACCTGATGGCTCAAAAGAAAACCGAGAGTAAGGTGGAAGCTATGGAAAAAGAAATGGAGGAAGTAAGGGCAGAACTCCAAAGGTTACCGGGTCTGGAGAAATTGGTGGAACACCTCACACAGAATATGGCCAGGATTCTGCAATCCCTGGAAGAGACTCAAAAGGCAGTGGCGATGCTGGGTAATTCGAAACCAGGGGTGAATAGAAATTTGGAAGGAGGAAGCTCTGGCAGTGTCATGGATGGACCAGCTCCAACAAGTACGATTAGGACTGATCAACGAGTTCCAGATAGGGAAAAGTGGCCGGAACTCGAAAGGGCTTAATGAGACCAGTGTTGGCAGCGACATGGGCAGAATGGAATCAAACAGAGATGAAAACAATTGGCTGATGATTAGGAAGCTGGAGATGCCAATTTTCAGTGGTGAAAACCCAGATGGCTGGCAATTCCTGGCCGAGAGGTATTTCGAAGTCAATGGGCTGACAGAGAAGGAGAAGTTAGGTGCGATTGGGGTGAGTTTGGACGTTGATGCCTTATCATGGCTGCAGTGGACAGAAGCCAGAACTCCCTTGCACAGCTGGGCGCAATTTCGAAATCAGTTGTTGTTACGATTTCGATCGACACAAGAAGGGAGTCTCTGCGAGAAATTTTTGGCCGTTAAACAGGAAGGATCAGTAGCGGAATTCCAGCATACCTTTGAAGCGTTGGCTGCACTAGTGGCAGGACTGACGGAGGAAGTGCTAGAAAGCAATTTCATCAATTGGCTGAAACCAGAAATCAAGGCTGAAGTCAGATTATTAAGCCCAACTGGTTTGTGCCAGCTTATGGAAGTGGCCTAAAAGGTAGAAGATAGAAATTTAGCCCTAAAGACCAGTTTTTCAGCATTAAAAAACAAGAAACACAAAAACTTTACCTGTTCATAGAAGCAACAGCACTAAAAGCTGGACCAATCCCTAAAAGCATAGCCCACATTTTCCTCAGTATAGATTCAGCACGCTTCTATGATTCTTGCAGCTGCTTGGCCTTGGCTTTCGCTTTGGCTTTGACTGTGCTCAAACCTTCAAGTGCCTAGTCACATTCCTCCGGTGAAGCTTCCCTTTAATCTTTGGTTCTTCATTCTTATCATCGCCACTATTAAATTCAGGCTGACCCGCTGCAGCAGTTGAAGAATAACGTACATATTCTTTTTTCCACCCGAATCCCAGGGGAAAAAGAAACCCTGGTTTTCTGATTTCGTAACTCAATGTTGGAGCCTCAGATAACCTAAGCCAAATAATTCCTGCTGTCAATGTAGAGGGTGACACATCTTTGGTTAGATAATTTGAATCTTCTTTGGCCCTGTGTATTGGAAAATAATCAGCTAGCCAAACAAGGCAGCCAGCAAAGGGGAACAAGCCAGCCAAACAAGAACTAGCAGCAGGCAAGAAACGGCCAAGCTGGCAGGACCACCAGCTAACAAAATTAGGAAAATTCTGGAAGGAGATTGTTAGGAATATTGTTAGCAATTTGGTGTTATTTGTACATTTAATAATCAATCAAGCAAGTTCAATACAATTATTTTATTCTCTCAATTCTTGCTTCATCAATTTCTTGTTTTATATTTGCAAGCTTGAAATGGTATCAGAGCCAAGCATGGAAGAATCTAATGCTGGGAATACACAAACTCAAAATCCAAATCCAATTTTCAATTCATCGGACAGCCTTTCAAATGCTGTGATTTATGATCCTTCACAGCCAAATAGTCCTTTTTTTATTGGAAGCAATGACCACACTGGAGCCTTGCTTTACTCACACTTTAGACTCTAACAACTATCATTCTTGGGCAAGGTCAATGAAAAGGGCATTAAGGATTAAAAATAAGTTGGGTTTCATCAATGGCATTTTGAAGGAACCAACAGATCCGAGTGATCCACTCATGGAACACTGGTTAAGGTGCAACGATCTGGTGATTACATGGATGTAAAACACCATGGCTGTTGACATTAAGTGCAACACAACCTATGCTGAAACTGATCAGCAACTGTGGACAGAACTTGAGCAACGTTTTGCTCAACAAAATGCACCTCGAATCTTTGAAGTCAAGCAGGCCATTATCATGCTGGTACAAGGCCAAGATGCTGTCAGCTCCTATTTTTCGAAATTCAAAACTCTCCTTGATGAACTCATGAACTATGAAGCTATCCCCAATTGCAGCTGTGGAGGATTAGAGATTGTTGCCCTCAATCAACAAAGAGATTGGGTTATGAAGTTCTTGATGGGGTTAAGTGATTCATATAAAGAAATCAAGGCACATGTTCTCTTAATTAAGCCTTTTCCCAGCCTCAATGAAGTCTACTCAATAATGCAACAGGAAGAGAAGAGAAGGGAGATATCAACTGAAGGATCTGTCAATGAATCAATGGCTCTTTTCACGAAGGGAAATTTTAGAGAAAAGGCCAGGCAGATCCCTTATGTGCCAAAGAGGGAGAGATATTATTGCACCTTTTGCAAAATGGTAGGACACTCACTTGACCGGTGCTTTAAAGCCAATTCAGACAAACCTATTTGCAGCTACTGTCAAATGCCTGGCCACCTAATGGAGAAATGTTTCAAACTTCATGGCTATCCCCCAAACCACAAGTTGAATGGGAAGGAAAGGAGTTCAGCAAATCAAGTCATCACATCCTCATGTGCTGTTCACCAAGTTGAAGATAACAAAACCCAAGTGGAATTAACTCGAGCAAATTTCACAACTCATGGCTCTTCTCAGACGTGCTGGGAATTTCCAAACTCACTCTGCCAACAATGCTAAGAATACTTTTACCTCCACTTCCACTGATGAGAACATTCACCAATTGTCTGGTATTTCTCTTTGTGCAAAATCAAATTACACAAACACTTCAAAAACACCATGGATCATAGATACAGGGGCAACCGATCACATGATCTGTTCAGCCTCCTGTTTTTCCTCCATTCATGCTAAGGTTTCTTATTCTATTTCTTTGCCTAATAGGGAAACGGTTCCTGTCACTCACATAGGAACCGTAAGAATTTCAGACACCCTAATACTGCAGGATGTTTTATGTGTACCTAGTTTCTCTTTCAATCTCATCTCAGCCAAAAAGTTAACTCAACTCTTAAATTGCTGTCTGATTTTCTTTTCAAATTCTTGTTATATTCAGGACCTAGCAGCCTGGAAGACGATTGGCATGGGTGAAGTGAAGGAAGGATTATATCATTTGAAGTTTGGAGATCTTTCTACCTCTGCTTTAACTGATTTCCAAAATAATGGACAGATCATCAGTTCCTCTTCCGTTTCTTCTGTTTCAGCTATCACTAGTGATTTTGATGTTTGGCATTATATATTAGGACACACATCCTATTCTGTTCTTGATGTTGGTAGTGATGTTCAATTTTCAAAAGCTATTAATAAAAAGCCATGTTCTGTATGTCCTTTATCAAAGTTACACAAATTACCTTTTCCTACCAGCATTCACAAATTTGAAAGGTGTTTTGAACTTTTACACTGTGACATATGGGGGCCCTGCAATGAAATTAGGAGTGATGGTTCCATGTACTTCGTGACCATAGTAGATGACTTTAGTAGGTGCACTTGGGTATACACTTTAAAACTCAAATCTGATGCCACTATTGCAGTGCAGAACTTCTGTACCATGGTTGAGAGACAATTTGACACCAAAGTTAAAATTATTAGGTCAGATAATGGGGGGGAATTCAATATGAGAGACTTCAATCTCAAAAGAGGAATTATCCACCATAAAACTTGTGTTGAGATTCCCCAACAAAATGCCGTAGTGGAAAGAAAACATCAGCATATTCTCAATACTGCCAGGGCACTCAGATTCCAAAGTGGCATTCCATTGAAATATTGGAACCATTGCATTCTAACTGCAGTGCACCTGATAAATAGAATTCCTTCTTCAGTCCTGAAAGGAAAAACTCCCTATCAAGTTCTATTCAACAAAAAAACCTTCATATAAACATTTGAAAATTTTCGGTTGTCTTGCTTTTGCCACTACCATTGTTAATGGGAGGCACAAATTCGATCCTAGAGCCAAAAAATGCGTGTTTATAGGTTATCCTTTTGGAATAAAGGGGTATACCATGTTAGATCTTGAAACAAAAAGGATCTTTGTCTCAAGAAATGATTTATTCTATGAAAAAGTATTTCCATTCAAAGATGAGTCCATCAAACCACAACAAAACAATATCAGTTCTGTTAGAGATTTCATTTCCCAAAATGAAAATGATACAACAAAACCAAGTGATTTAACAGGGGTGAATTCCTCAGCCGTTCAGCCTATAGAAGTTTTTGAACAAGTTTCCAATGATGAACCTCATACTGTAACTGATCTTGCTTCTTTAGATCTTGGTAATTCTGAATCATCACCAGCAAACGTCACTCCCACTCACTTGCCTAGAAAGTCAGCCAGAATAAGAAAAGCACCAGCTCATCTCCAGGACTTTATATGTCATCAAGCCTCTGCACTTCATCCATTCCAAGAGTCCAACAAGCTGCAGGAACCAGGTAACAATTATCCTCTCAATAACTGCCTTTCATATGAGAAATTATCTAATTCATACAAAACCTTTGCTGTTTCTGTCATTTCTCACACTGAGCCTAAAAGTTATCAGGAAGCCAAAAATTCCCCAGAATGGTGTGAGGCCATGAGGGATGAAATTAAAGCTCTTGAACTTAATGAAACTTGGACCTTGGTTAATCTTCCTCCTGGTAAAGAGACAATAGGATACAGGTGGGTTTACAAGGTAAAATACAAGGCAGATGGCAATATCGAAAGGTTCAAAGCAAGGCTGGTGGCTAAGGGTTACACGCAACAAGAAGGACTTGATTACCACGAGACTTTTTCACCAGTTGCCAAATTGGTTACAGTCCGAACCTTGTTGGCCCTTGCAGCCATAACTGGATGGAGTCTTTTTCAATTTGATGTTAACAACGCTTTCTTGCACGGAGAGCTTGAAGAGGAAGTGTTCATGGACGTTCCACCAGGCTGCTATGAGGCAAATGCCAAAGGAAAAGTCTGCAAGCTCAAGAAGAGCTTGTATGGATTGAAGCAAGCGTCGCGCCAATGGTATGCCAAGCTTTCTAAATTCATTATTGAGCAAGGATATGTTCAGTCAAAGGCAGATTAGAGTCTGTTTACCAAAAGTGATGGAGATTTCTTTACTGCCGTCTTGGTTTATGTAGATGACATAATAGTGGCTGGAAATTGTGTTAGTATGATTGACCATCTCAAAACCTCACTTCATGATAAATTTAAAATCAAGGATCTAGGGAGCTCAAGTATTTCCTCGGGATAGAAGTGGCGAGATCTGCAGAAGGGATTTACCTGTGTCAAAGGAAGTATGCCCTCGACATTTTGAAAGATTCAGGAACTGTTGGATCAGCACCAGCAAGAGTGCCATTAGATCAAAATATGAAAATGATCAAAGAGGAAGGGGAATTACTCCCTGAACCAGCTATTTACAGAAGATTAATAGGCAGGCTTTTGTATCTAACGATAACCAGGCCTGACATATCCTATTCAGTTCAGCTATTAAGTCAGTTTATGGATTGCCCTCGTATCCCACACTTGCAGGCAGCACACAAGGTCTTAAGATACATCAAAAGGCACCAGGCCAGGGGATCTTCTATCCTAGAGATTCACAGTTACAATTACATGGGTATTGTGACTCAGATTGGGGAGCTTGTCCCAACACTAGACGTTCAGTCACAGGTTATTGTGTGTTAATTGGAAGGTCATTAGTATCCTGGAAGTCGAAGAAACAGCAAGTTGTCTCA